GAAATCACAAAAGCTGACTGTATATCTACTTATGTTCAAGTAGACATATTTTAATATCAAATTTAAAAAATCCTTTCCACCACATCTTTTTTTTTTTTGTTGTTTTTTTGAGCGGAGTCTTGCTGTCCACCCAGGCTGGAGTGCATGTGCTGGTGATCTCGGCTCACTGCAATAGCTCCGCTCCCGGATTTACGCCATTTCTGCCTCAGCATCCCGAGTAGCTGGGACTACAGGCGCCCGCCACCCTCGCCGGCTAGTTTTTTGTATTTTTTTTTTTTTTTTTTTTTGAGACGGAGGTCTCTGCTCTGTCGCCCAGGCTGTGGAGTGCAGTGCGCGGATCTCAGCTCACTGCAAGCTCCACCTCCCGGGTTGTACGCAGATCGCCAGGATGGTCTCGATCTCCTGACCTGGTGATCCGCCCGTCTCGGCCTCCCAAAGTGCTGGGATTACAGGCTTGAGCCACCGCGCCCGGCCCACCACAATCTTTTGCAAGTTTTTCCATTTCTGTCTTTAACATGGTACCAGGAATAACAACTACAACCTGTTTGTGTTGAAATTCTTTCTATAGCCCAGCATCTGCTTTCTCTGAAAATTATCTTTTTAAAAATATTAAAAATAACATAATTACAAAAGCAGTATATGTGCATTTTAGAAAGTTAGAAAATACAGGGGAAAAAATGGCACCACATTCCTGTCACCCAGAGATCACCACTATTTACTATTTATTTATTTGTTGAGACAGAGTCTCACTGTTGCCCAGACTGGAGTGCAGTGGTGCAGTCTCTGCTCACTGCAACTTTCGCCTCCCGGGTTCAAGTGATTCTCATGCCTCATCTACCAGAGTAGCTGGGATGACAGGCGCATGCCACCACACCCATTTAATTTTTGTATTTTTAGTAGAGATGTGGTTTCCCCATGTTGGCCAGGCTGGTCTGAAACTCCTGGCCTCAAGTGATCTGCCCACATCAGCCTCCCAAAGTGCTGGGATTATAGGTATGAGCCACCACACCTGGTCTACTCACTGCAACCTCCATCTCCTGGGTTCAAGCGATTCTTCTGGCTCAGCCTCCCGAGTAGCTGGTACTACAGGTGTGTGCCACCATGCCTGGCTAATTTTTGTATTTTTAGTAGAGGACAGCGTTTCCCCATATTGACCAGGCTGGTCTCGAACTCCTGACCTCATGATCTGCCCACCTTGGCCTCCGAAAGTGCTGGGATCACAGGCGTAAGCCCCTACCCCTGGTTACTTTTTCCCTAGTGATTTTTTTATGATGATGCAGCTATATATTGAAATGGAAAGGTACTCGTTTTGGGGAGTAAAATTGGTTATGAAACAAAAATAATAACAAAGTCGCTTTTGAGGACTGTATTAAAATGTTAGTGGTAGTTATATTTTTAATTTTTATGGGTACATGGTAGGTGTATATATTTATGTGGTACATGAAATGTTTTGATGCAGGCATGCAATGCGTAATCACTTCAAGGTAAATGGGGTATCTTCCCTGGCGATGTTTAACATGATTTCCAGAATGAATTGCTCACTATGTTTGGTGTGTTTTCCATTCCCAGGTGGTACTGCCTTTTAAGGTCTATTACTTAAACATAAATATGGCTCTGGTTCTTATGGCCTTTACTGTATCCTTCATGAGAAGTTGATACTGATCGGAAATTGACACAGAGCCTTCTCACCTACACCAAGGGAGTCTCGGTAAGCAAGATTATCTTTATCCCAAATTCAGCAAGAGGTTTTCTTATTGGTGTTCAGAATGCTTGATTGAGCAGTTAGAAAACTGTTGCTACCTAGTCTCCAGTCTTATCAAGGAAACAACGGCTGCAACTCACGCCTGCAAGAACAAGAGGCTCACACAGTTTTGAAATTAGTGCAACTTCTAGCTGGATGGGAGTCTTTTTAGTTTCATTTAGCCTTGACTTGAAACTAATAGGAGTCTTAAAATGAGAAAAAGGCTCAGGCTCTAAATGTACCTTTGACATGTTAATTCTGTTACCAAAAACTGGCTTTGCTCTGTATTAACTCCAGCAGAATTGTTTTTCAGTCACTGAGGCCAGAGGTGCTTCCAGAGAAATGTTCCTGACCTACTGATACTGAATAATTATTGTTACTAGAAGCTGCAACCAAAGACTCCTGGAGGGTAGTAAGAGGTACAGAGAATGCAGGTTAGATACAGTGAGGACAGAGAAGAAATAATGGGTTGGAGGGTGGGTGTGGTCACTCACACCTATAATTCCAGCTACTCTAGAGGCTGAAGCAAGAGAATCACTTGAGTCCAGGAGTTCAAGGCTGCAGTGAGCTAGCATTGCGCCACTGCACTCCAGCTTGGATGACAGAGCAAGACTTTGTCAAACAAAAAAAAAAAAAAAAGATGGGTTGCTTCGTAGTTTAGAGAACTACATGTTTAGATAGTTATTATTTCCCCAAAAGGGCCCATCAGATTGAAATTCTGAGATCCAGGGTTTGTCTGACACTCACTAGCCTATGAGTTGTAGAGATGGGATGGCCGGGAGTGAAGTGATGGCCTTGTGTCTTTCTCCCCTGCAGCATACAGAACGGCTGTACCTGGAAGAAGGAAGTGCGGAGCCAGCCTGATTGGGAGTAGAACTCCAGAGAGTGAGTCAAAGCCCTCTGTGTCCTGCTATGAATGATGCCCTCATAGTCAGAGGAAGCCGACTTAAGTGAAATCTATTTTTGACTTGTCAAGTTTAAATATTTTCTTAATTTTTAGTACTGAACAATAGAAGGCATCTAGTGAAACAAATGCTTTCACTTTCTTGCTAGGAGGGTAAATGAGTATATTCTTGCATTAGGTACACAAGGATACAGTACAAGTATGCTAGCCTCTCTCAACTGTAAACAAGTAAACAAGATTTGGTTTAAGCATCAGTCTCTTGTGAGTCCGACTGGTAAGCCCAGTCTCAGGGCACATTGACAATGTTAGTGGAGAACGAGACTCTCCCAGTGTGCTGCCCTGACCCCCCCGAGATTGGTCTGTGTAGCCATGTGGTGGTCATCCTGTACCACTTCTGGTTTGGTTCTAATCAAAGGAAGCAGTATCATCTTTGGTGATCCGTCTTATACACTTGCATCATTTTGTACCAAAGGAGAATTTCTTTTGTTAAAAATTTATTTTTCATTATCTACTCAGAAAGAAGGAACCAAAGGGCTGGGCGCAGTGGCTCATGCCTGTAATCCCAGCACTTTTAGGAGGTGAGGCAGGCAGATCACTTGAGGTCAGGAGTTCGAGACCAGCCTGCCCAACATGTTGAAACCCCATCTCTACTAAAAAACACAAAAATTTAACCAGGCGTGGTGGTGCCTGACTGTAGTCCCAGCTACTCAGGAGGCTAAGGCAGAAGAATTGCTTGAACCCAGGAGGTGGAGGTTGCAGTGAGCCAAGATCATGCCACTGCACTCCAGCCTGGGTGACAGAGTGAGACTCCATCTGATATGGTTTGGCTATGTCCACACCCAGATCTCACCTTGAATTCCCATGTGTTATGGCAGGGACCCTGTGGGAGGTAATTGAACCATGGGGCAGGTCTTACCCGTGCTGTTCTCGTGATAGTGAGTAAGTGTCACGAGATCCATTGGTTTTTAAAAAGGGGAGTTTCCCTGCACAAGCTCTCTTTTGTCTGCCACCATGTGAGACGTGCCTTTTACCTTCCACCATAATTGTGAGGCCTCCTCAGCCACGTGGAACTGTTAAGTCCATTAAACCTTTTTTTTGGTAAATTGCCCAGTCTCAGGTATGTCTGTGTCAGCAGTGTGAAAATGGACTAGTACATCATCTCAAAAAAAAAAAAAAAAAGGAAACAAAGAAGAATTTATTTGGAAGCAAAATATTTGGCATCCAGGGTTTTGATCCATGCATACATTAATAAACCCTTCAGAACCGTGAGTTGGGATAATTCACTGTCCCTCATGTCAGTCTCATGGAACTTTACGCTTTTCTGGGAGTGCTCCCAGGGTGGTCTCGAGGCCTCTCAGGCAGAGCAGAGGCTGGTCAGCGAGCGACAGGGCTTGCCATAAAGTGGTTTGTTCATGATTTGTTTCTAGGACCCTGGGAAAAATGTTTTCAGGGTCTGCCTGAAAAGGCTGCTTTTGGAAACTCGTGGATTTCTTCCTGGGTGAATCAGGAAAGTTGTGATCCTGCCGGGTGTGGTGGCTCAAGCCTGTAATCCCAGCACTTTGGGAGGCCGAGGCGGGCGGATCATGAGGTCAGGAGATCGAGATGGTGAAACCCTGTCTCTACTAAAAATACAAACAATTAGCCGGGCGTGGTGGTGGGTGCCTGCAGTCCCAAGCTATCGGAGAGCTGAGGCAGGGAGATGGCGTGAAGCCCGCAGGAGATGGCGGAGCTTGCAGTGAGCCCGGATGCGAACACAACTGAACTCACATAGCCATGCCGGACAAAACCGAGAATGCTGATGGGATCATCCCCTGGCTATAAAACAAAAATATCTACAAAGAAAGAATATAGATAAAAGTAGGTACAGTTGATTCACGCAACATAATTGTTCCAAGGAACTAAAGAAATAAATAGGAATATTTATATGCTAGAAGAAAGTCCGCGGTGTCTTGGCCTCCTTTAGTTCCTGGCTTTCATTCATTCAGTGGCATGGTCATGTGTGCGTCAGAAGCACACTGCCACTAGGTATGATGAAAGGCCATTATACCATGTCAATGGATATTAACTGAGAAGATGATGTATGAGTCATGTGGGTGAATGAATGATGAATTTCGTACGGTTGCTTGTGATAAAAAAATCGAGGACAACCGCTAACCAAAATAATGAAACGCTATTATAGGACCGATTAGTTAAATTCAGAAACATCACTGTTTCAATATCAAGATATATAAAACAAATAGGAAGATGTGACAAGCATTGCTGAACTAGGATGCAGAGCTAAGTAATGTTCAGGAAACATGATCATCCAAGAGTGGAGAGGCGAGTGGACATGAGTGAAGTCAAGCTCTAAGATGACTTATGTCACGGTAGTGGACTGACAACATTAATGCGCAGCTCGCATTGGGACTACAACATATTGTAGAAGTGTGAAACATAATTGTGATGACACAGCAGTGACTCATAGTGTTGACAGTAGATCTAAGGGAGCAGTATGAAGTGAGATCCCATTGCTCAACCATGAAGTTGATATGGAACCAGGAGCAATCTCTGCAAAGGAAGTGGTGATGTTTGTAAAAAGGATGCAATGTCGTCCTTCATCTGCCCACCAGGAAATGTGCTTTAGACTTCTCGTCAAAGATGCTTGATCTGTCAAATCGCTTACATTACTTCTCATAAATGTCGTCAGAGAGCTACAGCAGCTTGGTGATGCTCCTCGACGTTCTGGACTACGCATCAGAATAGATTTCTCTAGTGGCGTCTAGCACACACGAAATACCTGGAGTCTCAGCAGAGCAGGTCACTTGGGGCATGAGCAGAGACTTGGCGAACGTTCTAATGTATGTAACCTCAGCAAGTCGTGGGCAAAAGGTGTAAGCGCAGGAAAAACTCGCACAAGCCAGATGTCTACATACTGCAAGCGCTAATCGGAGCTGATGCCTCCCATTTCAGCTTGCGCTTTGCCTGTTTATTTATGAAAATACAGTACTTGTCAGTGTAAATAATATCTCTGAATGGATACCAGGAAAATGGTAAGATGAATTAGCTGAGAAACTTGGATACTGAGGTGATGCACGAAGAGGGGAGACAACATGTCTAGATTTGATATGGCTCTGCGGGCCCTAGTTCCTATAAGCATCGCTATACCATATTGATTGTATGCTCGCATTCTGTGTTATGGGAAATATCATAAACTCTATGTACCACCCAAGGTAGCGCAAGTGCAAGTGTTGTTTAGGCTGGGCTACGCTCAAATACTATATAGCTGGTTGTTGTGATCAGGAAAGATAGAAACTCCCTCATAAGGATGTTATCACAGCTCTGAAAGGACATTTGCGAGAAGTCACAAATAACCTAGATATAAGAGGCAGATGCCATCGCTGTGGAACGAATCTCCAATGTAACTAAAGCACAGGCTACTCTATCCAAATGGATGGCCAAGACATATTCATTAAGTTAGTAAGCAGTTCACCAACAAATGAATCGCACAATATATACAGGTGACTAGGCGGGGAAACCTTTCCCAACCTTAACTAGAGCCTCCAGCCAGACTCGCTGCCAACTTTGGTCGTTCTGGGCTCTAATTATAGATGAACTTAGTATTGTCGCCGGGAACTCCCTAAGGTGTAAACGAGAAGTCTTACCCCAGGAGGGGAGGGGCAGGCGTGTACCCAACAGGTTGCTGTTTGGGGCAAACTTAGCCATTCCGTTCCTCCAGGGCTTTTAGGACGAGCCAAGCTGACTGAGAGATGTGAAGGGCGCACAATGCTCTATGAAAGTGTGTTCATGTGAGTGCTTGTACTCCTTTATGTGCACGTGTCCTTCTGATACACCCTGTATTGCCTCATTTGTCGTGGGTAGAGAGCATCCGCGCGTCACGCTCTAGTGACACGCGTCCCTAACAGGGTGTGTTTGGGCCAGCGTGAACGATCCGATACCTTCCTTGGCCGGAGTTCCCGGAGGAGAACGATTGCCAATCTTTGCTGTTTTCACTAGCCTTTTAGCTGGGGATACTTCCTAGATACTAGAGCTTTAAGCAACTGAGAATGCTATATCATAGCTGGGGCTACACCAAGCAAGATCGCACAAGGGTGTCTGCTCCAGGAAAACAGCTTGCAGCCCAGGCATCGTGCTAAAAGAGGAAAAAAAAACAAGTATAAAGGATTGAGGCACATTCACACATCTGTATTGAATGTGTGCTCTCGAAAGACCACAAAAAGAATATGAAAGAAAAAGAATCAGAAGAAAGAACCATCGAAAAATCGCAAAAAGCCCAGAGTTGTCTCTTTCCTCCGAAATGAGGTGCTAGGCATCACGCTTGTTTTCATCAAAGGGTTCAGACTAGTGTTCGAGGCTTGAGATGGCTGCCAATGACCGAAGTAGGACATTACAGCCGCTCGATTGGATAGGATACCGAAGCTTCCATTCAGTCACAATACAGGAACGGAAGCATAAGTACGACTTGATGAACACTGCAAATGCAAGGAAGTCTTATAGAAAGTCACCTAGGGAATAGAAGCCAATAGACAATAGATAGACTCGACAGACTAAGAGCTGGCAGACAAGTACCATTTCACTCCAAGCCCATGATGAGAATAGGAGGAATGCGTCGACACTGATAGAGCTAGAAAAAGCACAGGGACAACTAGCAGCAAAGAAAGACCCACTGATTCTCAAATAGCAAAATAACAATGTACATATGAATAGCAGTAACTCAGATAATGAGCAGACCGGAAGGAATTTGAGGAGTAAAGGAAGCTGACTTTCATGAATTAGACAGGACAAGCATAGAGAAATAGGTGACGTACCATGAAAAGGATTACCAGTGATCCAGCGAAAAGCTCTTCATAAGAGGCAAAACTATGATTGGATTATGTGAAAAGAACTGAGAATACGTGATATGAGATGGTTGTGGGTATTGCTGTTCTGGAATAAGAATGCACGAAGTGTGTATCAATGTAAGTAAGTATGCGAAAGCAAACTGTGTCAGATTGTTCGTTCAGAGAACATCCCACTAGTTCGCGAGATAGACTGTAGTGAGGTCTGCAATAATACAAAACATTCAATGAGAATGACAAGAGACTCTCAGAGTCAAGATCATCCATGATGTTGGTGTTTCATCCGCCGAATGTCTATTTATCATCAGATTCTCCAGTCTATTCTCGCGAGTATTTGCATATTAATGTGTAGGACACTGCCCTCTACCTCACCAGTACAGTCCCAGCTCCTGTGTGTGTGGTATCCAACACTTTAAATCGGGTTAAAAGTTCTTTATAATATGGGCCCACGATAGAGCGTAGAGCTTATTAGAGTCGCGTTTTCGATTGAACCTGATCAATCTCTCACTTGAATAAGTCCCGTGTTACTTTTCTATGCGAATCTGAGTCGACGACATGGCAATAGCATGCTCTCGCCCGCTCGCTAACTCTCCACATCGCCTTTCTGGCAATACATGCTCACGCCAGACGCTCATAGCAACAGATGTGTCGTTGGCACATTGTGTCGCTCTCATAAAATACTATGATGTAAAAAATAACAGGGACTAATCTCCCCACGTGCAGTGGGCTGTCAAGTTTGTAGTGGTGTTCCTAGAAAGATGCCTGCTGTGAGAGACATCCACAACAGTAGCACTTGGAATTGAAATTGTACAGAATAGTGGGCCCAATGGAGAAACAACAAATGTTGTCTGAATGTAGGAAGGTGCGCAGAAGGTGTGCACACCCATGTATACAACATTACTAACAGTGTCATAGGAGACAGTTGACATGTTTTTAGCAGATTCACTTCTTCTTCGATCGTCTAGATAATCCTATACTTCTCATGTGTGTAATACCGCCGAGAGTCAGATGGCATTGAAAAGTAAATGTACACCACTATGCAATCTTATAACGATTCAGAGGTCACAGCATTCTGTTTGCTTCATTGGACGAAGAGAACTAGGCGGCTGGGCGGCGTGCTGTGCACATATGGTAAGTCGCCAACAGAGCTCACTTTGGTTACATTGATGTGGTGCTAGTCTGTGTGGGTGTCTAGGTAGAAATGAGGCTATTGTAAGAGTCTCCGGGTCTGTCCGTGTTCCGAGAGTGTTGTTGGCGCTAACGTTGTGGTGTATGAGTAACCGGGAGTGCTCACTAGTCATTCCACACTGTGACAGCGTCTGTCTGTGTCTGAACAACGCGGACAGAGCGAGGATCACCATCTCAAAAAAAAAAAAAAAAGAAAAAAGAACTAATCTCACTCTATGTTGGTGCGGCTGTGGGCCATTTGCCCTGCTGTAGTGGGTGTAGAGTCTTCACACTCTTGGCATGAGAATAAATTGGTAAAACGTTCTGGCAGGCAGTCTAGAGTTTGTTTCCAAAGTTAAATGTGGTTAATTAAAAATAATTTTACTTGTGCCTGTAATCTTAGCACTTTGGGAGGCTGAGGTGGGCAGACTGCCTGAGCTCAGGCGTTCGAGACCAGCCCGGGTAACATGGTGAAACCCTGTCTCTACTAAAAATACAAAAAATTAACCGGGCCTGGTGGCAGGCGCCTGTAATCCCAGCTACTCGGGAGGCTGAGGCACGAGAATCACTTGAGCCCAGGAGGCAGAAGTGGCAGTGAGCCGAGATCATGTCACTGCACTCCAGCCTGGGGGGCAGAGCAAGACCCTGTCTCAAAAAAAAAAAGAATGCTTGGTTGAGCATGGTGGCTCACACCAGTAATCCCAGCACTTTGGGAGGTGAAGTGATCAGATCACTTGCACCAGGAGTTTGAGACCAGTGTGGGCAACATAGTGAGACTCTGTCTCTACAAAAAATAAAAAATTAGCCAGGTATGGTGGTGTGTGCCTGTAATCCCAGCTACTGGGGAGGCTGAGGTGGCAGGATCACTTGAGACCAGGAGGTTAACGCTGCAGTGAGCCGTGATCATGCCACTGCACTCCAACTTGGATGATAGAGTGAGACCTTGTCTCCAAAAAATTAAAAAAGACTAATCCCCTATGTTGGTGCGGCTGTGGGCCATTTGCCCTGCTGTAGTGGGTGTAGAGTCTTCACACTCTTGGTATGAGAATAAATTGGTAAAACGTTCTGGCAGGCAGTCTAGGGTTTGTTTCCAAAGTTAAATGTGGTTAATTAAAAATAATTTTACTCACGCCTGTAATCTTAGCACTTTGGGAGGCTGAGGTGGGCAGATTGCCTGAGCTCAGGCGTTCAAGACCAGCCTGCGCAACATGATGAAACCCTGTCTCTACTAAAAATACAAAAAATTAGCTGGGCATGGTGGCATGCACCTGTAGTCACAGGCAGTGGGTAGGCTGGGGCAAGAGAATCGCTTGAACCTGGGAGGCATAGGCTGCATTGAGCCAAGATCCACTGCACTCCATCCTGGGCAACAGAGCGAGACTCTGTCTCCAATAATGAAATAATGATAATGCAAAAACAATTTTTTTGAGACAGAATTTCTCTCGTTTCCCAGGCTGGAGTGCAATGGCATGATCTCAGCTCACCACAACCTCCGTCTTCTGAGTTCAAATGATTCTTCTGCCTCAGTCTCCCAGGTAGCTGGGATTACAGGCCCACACTACCACGCCTGGCTAATTTTGTATTTTTAGTAGAGACGGGGTTTCTCCATGTTGGTCAGGCTGGTCTTGAACTCCCAACCTCAGGTGATCCGCCTGCCTCAGCCTCCCAAAGTGCTGGGATTACAGGTGTGAGCCACTGCACCCAGCCAATAATAATAACTTGAACCAACATTCTAGGAATTTTCCCTAAGGAAATAATCAGAACATATGCAGATTTGTGTACAAGACTGTAAATTGCCATATTGTTTTTGACCTGAATGTGTAGGTTTCAGTGGGGAAACCTGGTCCTCTCCTCCTGCTCCAACCCCAGTCCATCTGCTTACTACCTTTCCCAAATAGAGCTTGAGTAGGGCCATTGGTGGCCAGGATCCAGAACAGGGTATGGGTTTGGGGGAGGTGGTGGTTGGAATCACCTGGGGTTGGATACTGGATTTAGTTCCTCTGTGGATAAATGAGAGCCTGGGGATTGTGGGGAAGAGGCCTAAGGTGAAAATTAAAATGCCTTAATTTCAGGAGCAGTCTTGGCCTTGGAGATTCATGGGACTTCAGAGAGGACGGGCAGAAGCTGACCATGTAGATGGTAGGTTGTTGCTCTCCCTGGGCCAGAGGAGCCTGCTTGCCTCCCTGTCTCCAAGGCTGAAAGAGGGTTGTGCAGCTGAGGATGTAGGAATTGAGGATACAGGCGAGTGCCACGGCCTGGCAGCCTGGTATGTGGCTGTACTACAGGAGTCTGCTGGCTTCCCACCACTGGGAGTGCCTTTAGGTGTCTCTGCTAGACCCATGGCCAGAGGGTGAAAGGAGGCATGAGTAAGTAGGCAAGAGAAAAGCGATAATATGCTGAAAGAGGCCTTAGAGCCAGAGGGAGAAGGAGCAGACAGACTCTCATAAATAGGGGGTTCTGGTGAAACAACTTCTGCAAGAGATTCAATTATAGCAAAACTTTCTGGAACCAAAAAGCTTAAAAAAAAAAAAAGAAAGAAAGAAACTCAGAAGTTTAATAGATAAACTGAAGGAGAGAATGGTCAGCACAAATGGAGTAGCCTGTTAGATCGAATGGAAGAAACACTCAAACATAGCAAAAAGAGAAAGGAGAGAGAGAGAGGAACCAGGAAAGCAAAGAGATGGAGGACCAATCGGCCCTAAAGTCGGTGGTGATCAGCCCATTCCTGAGCCATCCCTGTGACCCGTAGATGCCCCTCTGCTTGACTTGCTTAGGCAGGGGTCCTCTGAACTCATCACTGAGCCAAGGGAGAATGGGATGACCTTAATGGGTTAGAACACTTAGGGAACACACTGGAACAAGGGGTAGAGTCGGTGCTACAAACACACAGAGAAAGGGTGGAATTTTTTTAGGGTACAAATACCCTTGAATATCTCCTGTAGTAACACATGGTGCCTAACTGAATGAACTGTTGTGAAGATAAAAGAGATCTTACATAACATGTTTAACACAATGCCTCACACATAAGCCGTGGAGAAATAGTTATTTTCTCATTTGTGTTTTAAAAGAGTATTTTTTTCTTTTCTGAGACAGAGCGTCGCTCTGTCACCCAGGCTGGAGTGCAGTGGTGCAATCTCGGCTCACTGCAACCTCAGCCTCGTGGGTTCAAGCCATTCTCATGTCTCAGACTCCCGAATAGCTAGGATTACAGGCATGTACCACCATGCTCAGCTAATTTTTATTTTATTTTATTTTATTATTTTTAGTAGAGACAGGGTTTCACCATGTTGGCCAGGCTGGTCTGCTGGTCTCGAACTCTTGACCTCAAGTGATCCACCCACGTCAGCCTCCCAAAGTGCTGGGATTACAGGCGTGAGCCACTGCGCCCGGCACCGAGTGTTTGGTTTTTTTGTTTTGTTTTGTTTTGTTTTGAGATGGAGTCTTGCTCTGTCCCAGGCTGGAGTGCAGTGGCGCGATCTTGGCTCACTGCAACCTCCATCTCCTGAGTTCAAGCGATTCCCCCACCTCAGCCTCTGGAGTAGCTGGGATTACAGGCACGCACCACCATGCGCAGCTAATTTTTGTATTTTTAGTAGCGACGGGGTTTCACCGTGTTGGCCAGGATGATCTTGATCTCTTGACCTCATGATCCACCCGCCTTGGCCTCCCAAAGTGCTGGGATTACAGGCTTGAGCCACGATGCCCAGCCAAGACTCCAATCTTATAATCAGTTCTCTTCAAATTGGATTCTGGAAAGCTTGGAGTTGAAATATACAGCCCAGGCTGGTCGTGGTGGCTCACGTCAGTAATCCCAGTATTTTAGGAGGCCCAGGCGGGCACAACACTTGAGGCAGGGGTTCAAGACCAGCCTGGGCAACATAATGACATTCCCATCCCTACAAAAAAAAAAACAAAACTGTTTTTTAATTAGCCAGGCATGATGGTTCACACCTGTAGTCTCAGCTACTTAGGAAACTAAGGTGGAGGCCAGGAGTTCAAGGTTGCAGTGAGCTGAGATTGCGCCCCAGCCTGGGAGACAGAGCGAGACCCTGTCTCAACAACAAAAACTTTGCGTTAGATCTTGCATTATAGAACCCCTGCAACCGGAGAGCAGCTGAGGTTGCCTGTTTTACGCAGGGACAGCCCTAAACTGCCTTCCGTCAGAATCGGACGGCTGAGATGTCAGTGTCGTCGCGGGGTGGTGCTGCCCGCTGGCCCAGGGTGGTCGGCCGGGAGCCAGCCTCGTGCACCTGCTTTCGGTTTGCCAGGCGCGGCGCTGCAGGCCCTCGCAAGCTTCGGATGCGCCTGCCAGGGCCTGTGCTGGGGGTCACTCGGGAGCCGCGTGACCCTGGCCCGGAAACCGCGCCACCGGCGTCCGCACACTTTAGGCCGATGGACCCAGGGGTCTGGCCGGCCATGTCTCGGCGACCCCCCGGAGCGCGGGACAGGGAAGGCGCCGGCCCTCGCCAGTGCCCCGCCGACGGCATCCTGGGGCTGGCTTCGCACGGGGCCTGCCCGCTCCCAAGATGGCGGCGGCGGCGGCCTCACGGGGCGGGGCCACGTGGGGGCGGTGGCCAATGGGCTTCCGGGGCTGCGCTGCCGGCCGGGAGCGGGAGGCGGAAGTGCCGCGGGCTGCAGCCTGCATCCCGGCTGCGGCCCCTGCCGGTTACATAACTCGTTGCGGGCTCCGCGCGGCCCCACTTCCCGGCTTCCTGCGCCTCCAGGATGCGCTGAGCCCTACGAAACCCTCAGCGGCCGCCGGCTCCCCCCACGAGGTGAGGTGGCGGGGGTCGGCCGTCGGGGCTCGGACCTGCGGCGGGGCGCCGAAGGGGGCGGGGTAGGCGGGGAGGCCGCGCTGGGGTCAAGGGGGCCAGCGTCCCTCGGGAACGAGCGCGCCCACACCGTCGGCGCACAGCCCGCCCGGGAGCCGGTTTCGAGGACGGCGGCGGGGAGTGGGCGCTGGCCAGGGACGAAGGGTGAGGAGGTCGCGGCTCTCAATGATGGGTGGGAGTCGGGCCTTCTGCCTGGGGGTTGCGTCAGTGCCGGACCCCGAGACGAGTGGTCGTGACAATTTGCAACTAGAGGGTGGCCCTCATGGGTACCCTGTGGGGTCTCGCGCGAGGTGAAGAGCCAGGCCATTTCAGTCGGTCAGCGATTTGCGCCTTCTTCCCGCTCCCGCCTGGCCTGATCCGGGCCTGTTTTGGTACTTGTTGCACCGATTGGAGTTATTTGCGACTTGTTTGCCCTCCTCTGAACTCCTGAAAGCCAGGGGCTCCGTCTAGGTCTCCCCCTAGTCTTATTCTCCCAGCTTTCTGTGTTCAAATTCTTTACGTTCCTGGCCTTTTACAGACCGGCCCTATAGAATCCACTCCCCGGGCTCCGACTTTCTTCCCCAGATTGGGTACTTCCCAGGGAGTAGAGGGAATCTGTAGCTTTTGTGGTTTGTCCTGCTGGAAAAATCTGGGGGGAAGTGGTGGGCCTTCTCTGGACGACCACCCCACAAATCTGTGTGCCCAAGCGGAGACAGGACCCAGGGTCTGGACATCAGGCAAGGGGTACTCTGCAGTAAACGTGGACATTGCCCGTTTTGTGGGTGTGTTTTTACTTTGCCAAGTCGTTGAGCCGTACACTTTTGTGTCACTCATTTGTCTTGAAAGAAAAGGTTAACAGCCCAGCAGGGTAGTTTGCTTTGGTATCTGGTCGGTATCCGGTAGTTAATCCGAGTGCCAGAACCAGAGAGAACATTGCCGTTTACAGATGTTTGCCTTTTACCAGGTCACTGAAGGCATAAAACCCCTAGTTAATGCTTAACTGAGTGCACCATGAAAGTCATGTGACTCCAAAGGTCATCTCTAGAAATGCGGCAGTCCGTGTAGCCCTGTGATGTAGAAATTCTGATATATGGGTCAGTGTTCACAGGCAGGGAGTTGGGGGGTCTTCAACATCATTGAATTAAAAAGGATCTGACGCAAAAACAAATAAATACACACATATCAGTGAACTGCTTTAAGCTCGGTTAGAGAAGATGACCTTAAAGACCAGAAGAAACTCAAGGGAGACTGCAATGTGAGTCCCAGTTATCTTTCCAAACACACAGGTTCATCACAGCATTGAAGGCTGGTCTTCATCTCCCTTCTTGTAGGATTTTCTACAGTAATGTGCAGTGTTGCCCTTGGAGAATGGGGCAGGCATGATTAGGCTGTGTTTTGCTGGAGTTTCATCTCACTGAGCTTGCAGACGCACTGGGTTTCTGTGACAATGGTTTAAACTGAAAGTAGCAAAGTCAAGGCATGGTCTGGTGTCAGCAGGCCAGAATAAAACACACAGACAACTTTTTACAAGGTCTGTGTACGTCCTATCTTTAGCCTCTCCTGGTTGTAACTTGAAGTGACTTTGTCGCCCTGTTTGTTTTGACCAGGCCCACTCTGGGACAGTATGGAGAGTATCTTTAGATGTGATTTGTCTGGGTTGCTTAGCAACGGCATGCTTCTGACTAGAATGGAAGAAAGTTCCTGGGCGTGAGGAGATTTAAGGGATGAAAGATACACCTAAAAGGAGACCAGGAGGGGTCGTGCCCTGTCATTGCTAACTGGGTGCTTGTAACTGGAGACTGGGTGTACCTGTTAGCAGCGGTGGTTAGACCAGGTGGATACAGAATCCAGAATGGTCGCATTGCAGCCACGGGGAACAGATAGATGCAGAAAAGAGTCTTCTCTGAGTTAGGGCAGTGCATGGCTTTGCTTGCTTCCCTGCCCTCTGAGTTAGGGCAATGCATGGCCTTGCTCTGCTGAAATAGCCCGGAAGTCCCTTGTGCTTGGTGACAGCTCTCACCTGAATAGAAAGCTGGCTGCTTATCAGACACTGTTTCCTTAAATGGCAGCTCCTCCACATCTGCGTCATCTCCATTATCTCCCCTATCCATCTCTTTCTGGAAGGAATCCACAAAGCCCTCATGGCTTTTTGTTTGCTTTTGTGTTTTGTTGTTGTTGTTTGGAGACAGATTATCATTCCAGCCCAGGCTGGAATGCAGTGGCGCAATCTTGGCTACTGCAACCTCCACCTCCCGAGCTCAAGCGATTCTCCTGCCTCAGCCTCCTGAGTAGCTGGAATTGCAGGCATATGCCACCACGCTTAGATAA